CGGCTTCTCTCTCTCTGCTCCTCCTCACCGTTTTTCGGTGTACGGCACCCAGACTGAGGGGCAGCTCACGCGAACATACCCGGCGGATTGCTTTCCTAAACGAGGTTCCACAGATCATCATGTTCACCTGGACGGGCGCAGTCCGCAATGGACGCTTGAACACATCCTCAAACATCATTCAGCAAGTTCGATAACAATACCCGTGCGGATAAATCAAGTACGCTTTAAACATTGCATAAACATTGATAACGAATATGGTTCCATAAAAGCTTTCAGGCTAATCAATACGGTTTGAGTATTCAACAAATGATTTACGGTTCGATTCTCATAATGATCTGATTGAAAAAATAAGAGTTTAAGTAATGAGTGGTAATTAGGTGGTGACGTAATAGACTGTTTGTTTGATAGATATTAGATAGTGTTGTACACATTGCACGGATGTACGTAATAGGCTGTGTTTGCCTGTATGATAGATGGGGTGCGAACAGGCGGAGGCGAGCCGAGGGTTAAACCCTAACGGATGTCCGATCACAGGCACGTTCTTCGTCAGCCATCAGCTTCACCGACTACGCCGCCTGTACAATACCTGACGCCAACCTAGCCAACGAGGTCGCTTCCTTCTCCACCAGGTAAGCATATAGCAATCACCAGCGTAGATAGGCAATCCACCAGGTAAGAGATATAGCAATCACCAGGTAAGATAGCAATCACCAGGTAACAAACATCTACCAGCAGGTCAGATAAACTAGTATAATAAAAGCAGGCTTATATTATAATATATATATAATATACGCTGCTATATTACACTATATATATAATATATATAATAGAATATATATACTGCTTATATAATATATACGTGTAATAAGCAGGTATAATTATAATATATATATATATATATAATATACCTGCTTATTACACGTAGATATACTTATATATATATATATATATATAATACTGCTATAATATATATATACGTGCTAATAAGCCAGGTACATTATATATATATATATAATATATTAATATACCGCTTATTACACGTACTATATATATATATATATATATCATATATATATACTGCTATATATATATATATACGTGTAATAAGCATATATTATATATATATATAGTATATATATAATACTACCTGCTTATTAGACGTATATATATATACTATATATATATATACTGCCTATATATATATATATACGTGTAATTAAGCAGGATATATTATATATAGATAGATATATATATATATATATATATATATAATACGTGTAATAAGCAGGTATACATATATACTGTCTCTAACAACTCCGAATCTAATAAGGTCACGTTGCCCTCAGGCGGCACACGTTACTACACTATATTAACTGGTGTTTCACCCATATCCGACTGACTCTCTCTCTTTCTCTCTCTGTTTCCCTCTCTGTCTGTCTGTCTGTCTCTCTCTCTCTCTTTCTCTCGTTCTCTCTCTCTCCCTCTCCCTTCTTCCACCCAACGCTAACTTTCTCCCCCTGTCTGTGTTGATACAGTGGGAGCCCTGACATGTACTACTGGCGGGACATGGCGGGTAGAGCGTGGGAGGCGGAGGTGGCCGACCAGGAGAAGACGCTGGCAGTGCTCGCTAACGTGTTTCCCTTCGACGTGCGAGGAATGAAAGCACCGCTGCTGCAGGTACGCTGACGCTGACGCTGACGCTGACGATGATGATGATGCTGACGCTGAAACTCACGCTGACGCTGACGATGACGCTGACGATGATGCTGATGATGACGCCGACGATGAAGATGGCGATAAAAATGATGATGATGATGCTGACAATGATGACGATGGCGATGACAATAGCGACGATGACGATGGAGATGACGGTGACGATGATGATGACGATGGCCGTGACGGTGATGCTTGCTATGTTTCAGAGCGGCGGAGATGTACAGTTCGCTATGATGGAGAACCGACTCCTGAGTTACGACATGTCGCTGCCTAGCATGCAGGTGGCGCCACCGCTGTGGCCGTACACGCTCGACTACCGGTCCGGCCAGGAGTGTTCTATTCCTCCCTGTCCCACAGGCTCTCACCCAGGTACGTCACACGTGTATATATATATATTATACATATATAGACTACCGGTCCGGCCAGGAGTGTTCTATTCCTCCCTGTCCCACAGGTTCTCACCCAGGTACGTCACACGTGTATATATATATTTATTTATATCCTTCTCTTTCTCTCTGTCTTTCTCTCTGTCTTTCTC